AACATCTGGAACCACTTATAAAAACCACCCCGTATCTGCATGAAATTTTACCCCCCCCCCACTGCTATTCCAAACAACGCGTTTTTCTGGACCATTCCAATTCGCCTCGTAATTGTAGGGGTGCGTCTGCGATATTACATTGACCGCGAAAGCAGCAACGGCAAAAATACACATTCGTGCATCAACACGGGCATGCCCGCAGACGGCGTATAGAATTGCGTACCGATTACACAAAGAGAACCCAGTGTTTTGACTGCGAACATGAAAAATCAGCCGATCACAACACTCCGTCCGGAGGTCCTGACCTCCTTCACGGAGTAACAAACATGACTTACTGTAGATGCAGCTGCAATGACTACTTGGGAGAAATACACAGACGCTGTCCTGATGGTGGTCGATTTATTTGTCAACTGAATGATTCACTGATTTGTGGTCAGTCAGGATATATGTGTATTTATATACAATATAACATCCGGGAAGGAAGGAAGGGACCGAAAAATTATTTCGCGGTGTTCGCAGCTGTTTCTATTTTTTTTCTTATTTTACTCATTTTATCATTTTACTTCCTGTTGCAATTGTAGAGCAAATAGTGAAATAATTTGCCCTTAGTTTTTTTTGTTTGTTTTTTGGTGTATTGTCCTGGGTATGGTCTTGAATTGTGTGAGCATGCATGCACCTTCACATCAATGTTGGGAACAAGGAAAGTCATACATGAGGTTTCAAACGAAATCGTTGTTTAGAGTGAAGCAAAATGTACAGTCTCAAATTAATACACGCTTTAACACTAACATTCAGATGAAATACTACTAATACAAGCGAGCACCCATCGCGACCCTTGAATAACCGTCGAACAATCATTAAACCCAAACTGACTGAAATATGATTCATACGTGATTTTCTTTGTAGCTGCTCCTTTGTAACTGTGAACTGTGAACTCCACCTATACTATACCTGCTTGGATACTTTCTACCTTCAACCATGTTTGAGTGAATAGATGGTTTATTTATACATAATACATCGCAGCTACGTGCTTGATCCCGTACAGTGTTCAACGTCCTATTGAACATTAACATGGAGAAAATACAAATGACACTCATGATATACGTTTTTGCAGTTTGCTATGCAATGGCAATGACTCTTGCTGGCTTATTTTTGCTGGTGACTGTTACGGACCTAACTTCCACTCTTATACTTAGTATTAGGTGTATAAGAGTATGAAGAAAAGTTTTCGTATTATCAGTAGTTACTGGTATTTCATCTTTATGTGTTTAATTTGGGGATAAGAATCAACTTTTACATGTTGAAAGATATTACGCACCTGTGATTTTTTTTTGTTCTGTATGCTGCCTCAACCGTCTCATGAGCAGGAATGACGATTTTTTCGTACCGACGTGACAGGTCATCCGCCCCTCCATACGCCTGCGTACTTTGAAACTTTTGATAGGAGGCAGACACCCGGTTAAAAAAAGGATAGTCCGGAAGAGCATTCTCTTTTATAACAATATCAGTAACATAATAAAATTAAACCCCATACTACAGGAGAGTATATTCTATTCGAACATATAAAAATACTGATTCAATGAAAATGAACAATCCGCATCATCTTAGATCAAATAATAGAAGCTTTAAAAACAGCTGCTGACACAATGAATACCACGAAATACCCTTCCGGTACCTTCCTTCTCGGATGTAACGATGTATTGATATAAACACGCATGTATCCTGACACATCACAAATCAACGAGCGAATCCTTTGCAAATGAACCGACCACATCAGGACAACGTCTGCAACTCCTCTTCAAAGTAATCATTGCATCTGAATCTGCAGTAAGTCCTGTTTGTTATTAATCGCGATGTCCTTTGCATTGATTATAAAGTGCCTGAGACACTGTAATCGCTACATTTTAACTAACATACCGACTGTAGTTAATAAGTATCATGTTCCTGAGATAATACTTTTATATTTTTATTTTGTATTATTCAGAAAACCTGATAGGTAAGAATACGTGCTGATCGTTCAAGTAATTCTAGGTTCTTCATATTTATAGTTAATCATTTTTTTTAAAATCTAAGTGAATTATGAATAAACCGTGCAATTTGCCATTATTTCTTTAAGTGGACATGGCTAGAATCTGTAAGACTAAAGTGATCTAGGTGATCAAACAAGTTGCCAACTCCTGGCAGAATATAGCAGGGAAATGTACATGGATTATGGCTATAGCTTTTCCCATGGTAGGAGATTTCCAGTCTCAGCGACGGTACCATTGTCGCACCCATGGTTAGTGTTCCGGGTGGTTACCTGCTCGGATACTTCCTACCTGGGATACCTGCTCGGATATGATTATTGTCGTTAACGGTCGTCGCTATTATATATCGCAGAACTTTAAGTCCAGTAGCACTCTCGCTCCATACCGTGATGTTTCAAAATGTGGAGGGTTAGAGTCCCTGAATTCGTAGACATTTCCACTCGAGTTACTTGCTTTTGCATCTTAAAGAACTTATAATACCCTTTAATATGGCATCGGCCATTCAGTGACATAGCAACGGACGTTTTCACGAGGCGGAAATGCGCCTCGGATACTCCAAGCCACTGGTTGGGGGGGGGGTACATTTACCTTTAAAGTTTCCACTTTTACTACAGATACACTCATGTAAATCCATATCAACAGCTGAATGAACATATTTAACCCTCAGATAAAGTAGTTTAATCGTATATGCATGCAAATCTTGTTTTGTTCGAACAGAACGGTGTTCGAAATGGGGTCACCCGCGGTCATCTAAAGTAAACCTGGGTCTTCCAGCCTCTCTTTACATGGGTACCTCCTTGCAGAAAAAATATCCCCCTTTTCACAAATATAAACCATTTACTGGACAGTTCATGTCTGTAATCATTTGGCAGTGGACATGGAACATGAAACGAAGCTACTACAGCCATCTCGGGTGACTTTGAAGATACCGAGCTTAAATATGCATGACGTGAACGTAGTTGCTACATAACATGTCTCTATTCCAGACCCTAATATTCTATCATAAGTACTTTTTGCTTAACACCCCATTCAGACTGGGATTGGAATCGTGATTGAGGTCCAATCCTGATTGAATCGCCATTGATTGTTTAGATTCAGAAAAATCAATGGCGACTTAATCAGGATTGGACCTCTATCACGATTCCAATCCCAGTCTGAATGGGGTGTTATTCTAAAGGAATAGACGGTTTTGGCCATTAAAGTCACGATCACGTTTATGACGTCATTATCACGTCATATTTTCTCATAACGACCTCATTTTTAAAAAAAATTATTTTCCTTACTAGTACACCATCCTTTGAAAATTTTGTGGTCATACAATATTCACGAGTTCTGAGTTCCCCCTCAGGTCCCACGACCCCCCTTCCCACGAAGCCCCAAAAGGCCCGGTCTAGGTAGGGTTAAAATAATGACAGATAGTCTTTAAACTACAACCCTACTGTTAACCTGGGTACTTTCCTGGTTAGTTTACGTCAGCTCCGACAGTCGCTCCAAACCATGAGGAGCGACTGTAAATTAACCAGGATGGTACCCTACTGTGTCCACTCATACCATAAGGCACTCACCATATCATTTTTTTCTCAGGTTTTGTGTCATTTTACTGTATAATATTATAGATTTAGTGCTAATTGTACTGCAAACACACTACAGGTCAGAGTTACAGTAGCAGACTCCGTAACGATGGGTCGTGCATGTAAGCCACATGTGATCTGTCTCCTTCTCCTTACTCTGCTGCTTCTCTACCTACTGCCGTGGTTCCGGTCAGGCTCTCTGCAGCCTGCTAGTGGCTTCTTCAACTACGAGGTCGATGAAATGTTGGGTCAAGAAAGACAGGGAAAAGTCCAAGAGTCCAGGTCCAATCCGGATGTTGTGGCTGAGGCAGGGTTGGGAGTGGGCCAGCCTGGACAGAGGAGGCTGTGCCCGCCGGGAAGTTTTCGAGTGTCCACGATGGAAACTTGTATGCCATGGCTTGGTTGTAAAGAGGTAACAGATGAGGTGACCACTCTGCACAAAATAGGATCAGGCTTTGTGAAGAAGGTAACGGTATAGTTACGTTATTAACTGATTATGCACATATTCTTTCAATGTTAGATCCTGTTGTAGGCGAGTGTAGACGTACAATGTCTGTCGATAAGGTAATTCTAGGAGCAGGTAGCATATACAACCATAATTGTTACATGTTATTTCCAGATTGCAACCTTTTCCGTTTATTTTAGATTATGATATACTGTGTGAGGTGCCCAATTCAGAAAATCATCAATGATATGTGTACTAAATACCGGTACATGCAAGTCAGTATATCTGGAAACATTACTGTAGGTTTGTCAACAGGGAAATCGTAACAGCTGGTATCTTAGGTGTAAAAGGTTACAGGTTACTAAGGTGGGCAACGTTTGGACTGAAGACGAAGCATGACGTGAGTAGTGCAATGGAGGTTTGTTTATAATTTTTAGAACATGGCCACTACCCCTAAGCCAATGGCAATGAGAGTCCTTTTATTTTGTGTCTATATCCCCATACAGCTATGGTACTATTCAAAAAGTGTGGCACTAAAATTCATTTGCATAAAATCAGTACCACACTTTTAGCTAGTACCACACTTTTTGGGTAGTGCAGGCTAATCATCCAAGGGGCAAGATGACTATAACAGAAACAGACCAGCTTTCGTAAAGACAAATGCTGCATTGAAACTGATATTTAAGAAGAAAAAAAGAAATTGAATAAGAGAAACTGATATTGAACAAGTTTGAAATATAACTTCGGGGAAATGGCCATGTTCTAAGTCAGATAGACCCTGGACTTGGGCTCGTCACCCTCCCGAGGGTCAGTGGCGCGGCCAAAAAGAGCCTATCACCAATAACCCAGTGCCAAACCACCCCGGCGACCAAACTCTTGGAGACTGTATGCATATTAATGAGCTTGCCTTATTTGGCACATGCTAATCAGCGCCAGTATCATATAAATTGAAGATGGCTGACGAAAATACTGGCACCACACTCAGCTCGGCTACGTTCATACCTTAACAAGTCGCCTTCAGGCCCAGCGAGCTCAGCTTGTAATTGCCTCCGGGGGAGGAGACATTCTTCCGCGGAAGGGCTTTGTGAGAGGTTTAGATTTTCATGTTCGCAGCTGTTTCTCGCTTTTGGGTGGACAGATTCTTTTGGGACTCGGTATATGTTTTGCTATTGGGCTGTTGATGATGCACCTTCTTTGGTTTTTATTGTTTTCGGGCGGGAAAATGGTGCCTTTTGGTGGACCCAAAACACTCCTTTGAGCGTGAAAATGGTCGCAACCGTTGACCTTTGGTGTGTTGAAAGAATTACAAGTCTCCTCCACTTGCATGACCTTTCGCACGGAGGGGTGTCCGGTCTCGATACATTCTTTGTTTAAAAATATGCACCAAAACGCTGTTTTCCAGGGCTGCATAGCCAAATTCAGTGAAAATATGCACAATTCAAAGAACCTTTGGTTAAAATATACATTTCTTTGCGGATTTATGGTGTTTTTTGACTTGGATTGAACCCGGAAGTGTCAATACTAAATCTTCTGAATAAAGTGTGTTCGGTTCTTTTGTGTGTAGAGGTTTGATTTAATAATCTTTCTTGTACACTGGGCCGATGCAAATGCAAATCTCGATCATGTCCCAATCGGGTGCAAACCCAGGCCATCGGCTCTGTGGAATTTAATGCAAAGTATGCAGATTACTACACCACACAGCAAAGACTTAATGTACATTTTTTATATGCGGTATAGAACTTCAACATACTTCCATTCTGCACTTTGCAGGTTTACAAAGCTATCTGGAGAAACCACACAGTGGCGTACAGTAAGCTGACGAAGATGGCTCCGGTTAAGCTCGAGTACTTCTCGCGAGACATAAAGATGCTGAAGACCCTGCAACACCCTTCTGTTTTGCAGTATGTGGGATCATGCAACACATCTCTCCTTACAGAGTTTCATGAATTTGGATCTGCAAACTCCGTTGAGGAAATCCTGAAGTCAAATGAATACAGCAAGTTTAACAATGTCCGAACAAGATTTAAGATAGCCTTGAGTTACCTACAAGCAATACATTTCCTGCACAATAGTCCAATTGGTACAAGAGTCATGTGCGACTCACACAAACTCCAAAAAACTTTAACTCAGTTTCTTATCACACAGGATTTTAAACTTGTCTTAAGTGACCTGGATTTCATACCAGAAGTAAATCATGAAGCAAATCTTTTCGTTAAGTGTAGACACAAAAGAATTATGTCAGGCTTTGTTGCCCCTGAGCAGCTTTGGCCCTTTGGAAATGAAACATTAGATTATTCAAGAATGCCTCCTTATGATGAAAAAACTAATATTTGGAAAATCCCAAGAGTTGTTGACTACTTACTGGGAAATGTAAATGGAAGTGATGTTGTTAGGTCACATTTGTTCAAAGTGCACCAACAGTGTCACAATAGGGACCCCAGGCAACGACCAACTACAAAGGTATTGTTTGAGGAGTACAACAGGGTTAAGAATATGCTTTTTTCTGAACATATAACAAATAGCATAGTTAATCAGACAATGGGCATTTCTTAGTTGTTGGATGAAGAGCATAGCCTGTTTTGTTTAAAGCTAAAAGAGCAATTATTGTCAGTCAAGCCTTCCTCTGTTAGCAAGCCACATTCAAGCATTTTAAAAGTGACCTGCCTAGGAAGGCCACCTGTACAAGAAGACCACATTAATAGACAGCAAACAGCATTTGTTAAAAGCACATTGGAAATTGAACATCGGATTGAAACACCACATTACTTCAGGTGTTAGGATGGGTACTGGTTTAAGGAAACAGCAATATGTTGGGATACGGATGCATTTGAGCAAAATATGTCTGGTATCTCTTTAAATTGCAAATCGATACATCCACTGTATTGATGTCTCCGGACGGGAATAAAATGATGAAATGCATAACTCTGTGCCATCCCGGCCCTCCACATCTTTTATTTTGGTTGCATCAATTCTGTTAGAATTGTTCTAGATAGTGAGTATTAGTTAACCCTTTAGCTGCCAGTGTTTCTCACCAATACATCCCCTCTGTGCCAGGGTTTCCAGACCCTTTTGAAATAGGGGGTACTACCTTTGTATTACTGTCTTTTTGTCATTTTCCCCTCAACTTACCATATCATGCCAGATATCATTGGAAAGCTAAGAATGTGTACTTTACAGAAAAATATTTCAAATGTAGCCTGACATCAATAGTAATGAATTACAAGGGCAATAATGCAATAAAATAGCTGTTTTCATAGTTTTTTTTGTATTACAATGCCTAAACTATGTAAAAAGTATAAGTATGAAACCTATAACATTCCTGACATGTCCTGACACTATGAGAATCACATACACGTAAAATACAGCACTCAGGTGTCACTACAGGTAAGTTTATGATCAGATATTGTCCTAGGTGCTGAACTGACTATTCAGCTAAAACACTGATCCATTACAACATATTTCACTTCTTTCTGTACCCTTATAAAAGATGGTACATAGACTTGTTATATATCATATGAAAGCATATAGTAGATACTATAACTAGAAATGTATATCAACTTGATAACATAGACTACAAGGGTCATAAACAGGTAAAGAGGCAATAAAATGCACAATTTCCACCTTGTTTCCATACAATCAACAATAAGCAACCACAGAATGACTTGGGCCTTGACTTAACAGATCCTGACATGTCCTGACACTATGAGAATCACATAGACGTAATCATACAGCACTCAGGTATCATTACAGGTAAGTTTATGATCAGATATTGTCCTAGGTGCTGAACTGACTATTCAGCTAAAACACTGATCCATTACAACATATTTCACTTCTTTCTGTACCCTTATAAAAGATGGTACATAGACTTGTTACATATCATATGAAAGCATATAGTAGATACTATAACTAGAAATGTATATACAACTTAGATAACATAGAACTACAAGGGTACATAAACAGGTAAAGAGGCAATAAAATGCACAATTTCCACCTTGTTTCCAATACAATCAACAATAAGCAACCACAGAATGACTAGGGCCTTGACTTAACAGATCCTGACATGTCCTGACACTATGAGAATCACATAGACGTAATCATACAGCACTCAGGTATCATTACAGGTAAGTTTATGATGGATATTGTCCTAGGTGCTGAACTGGCTATTCAGCTAAGACACTGATTCATTACAACATATTACACTTCTTTCTGTACATTTATAAAAATGGTACATAGAGTTGTTACATACTATATGGAAGCTTATAGTAGAGTCGGGAATGTATGTCAACTTGATAACATAGACCATAAGGGTCATAAACAGGTAAAAGCAATAAAATGTACAATTTCCACCTTGTTTCCATACAATCAACAATAAGCAACCACAGAATGACTTGGGCCTTGACTTAACAGATCCTGACATGTCCTGACACTATGAGAATCACATAGACGTAATCATACAGCACTCAGGTATC